AGAACAAAACAACCTCACCCAGCCGACCTGGGCTGGAGAAGGAAGAGAGCTGAGCGAGGATGGGAGGAGCCAGGATCCCTGGGCTCTCTTTGCTTGAATAAATGATCTCTCTGCTCCCTGGCTGTGAAACGGGTTTAATTATACTCTTTCTTCTGGGAGCAGGGATTTAACTCTTTCAGCGCTTGGCTGGCAGAGCAGCACAATGCCTCTGGGCTGTAACCGCTCTCCCGCTCCACTCCGCTCCTGCGTGGTGCACAGGGGCCTGAGCTTCCCCCCTTTTCCTCCTCCTCCTCCCAGACCATGGAGCTGGCTCGGAACCCTGCCATGATGCAGGAGATGATGCGGAACCAGGACCGGGCGCTGAGTAACCTGGAGAGCATCCCCGGGGGGTACAACGCCCTGCGCCGCATGTACACCGACATCCAGGAGCCCATGTTCAGCGCCGCCAGGGAGCAGGTACCGGCCACGCTCTGCCAGCTGGGCTGCACGGGCTGGGCACAGCAGGGCACAGAGGGAACGGGGCAGCCTCCCCTCTGCGTGCCCCTTGTCCCCTCTGCCCGGTGTCCCCCCCGCTCCGGGTGCCGGAGGCGGCTGGAGGAAGTGCTCCCCTGCTTGCCCAGCGGGCCAGCTGCCCCAGAGCCTCGCTAGCCCTCTGCTCTCAGCCTGGCTTGCTGCATGAGCTCCAGCCTGACGCCTTTGGGTTGGTGCTGGCTGGGATCCAGCTGGCCAGGAGCAGGCACAGGGCTGTCTGCAGGAGGCTCTGCAGGCACACTCCAGTCCAGCATCACCCACTGGTATGGCTGGGCACCGCTGGGCGTTTGAAGCCTGGATTTGGGCTGTGGCCACTTCTCGAGCCTGGCCTTTTCCTGAGTGAGGTGTGTTGTGGATTACAGATTTCTCAGGAGGCAAATTAGGGCTCTTAGCAGGTCCTGGCCTGGGTGAGGGTGGTTGTGCAGCGGTGGGGTTAGTCCCACGCTCTCCACTTGGGCTCACAGGTGACAGCTACTTCTCTTTCCTTCTTCCCTAGTTTGGCAACAATCCTTTCTCTTCCTTGACGGGGAACTCGGACAGCTCGAGCTCTCAGCCCCTGCGGACAGAGAACAGGGAGCCACTGCCAAACCCCTGGAGTCCCACGCCCCCTGCTTCCCAGAGCCAGGCGCCCAGCAGCGAGGGGAGCTCGGGCTCGGCCACCACCCAAAGCACGCCGACTGTGTCCAACCCCTTTGGGCTGAATGCTGCTGGCCTTGGGGCTGGTACGTACAGGAGAGGGACCGGCGGGTGCTGCTGCCTGGGCAGGTCACCCAGGCTTCCCTGCAGGGTGGTTCCCTCCAGCAGTTGTGTTTGTCTGTGGCTGCTCCCCAGATGAGTGATTCCAGCCCGGTGTCAAGCACAAAATGGTTATTTGTGCTATTTATTTATCAATATCTAAAGGGTGGGGGCAAGAGGCTGGGGCCAGACTCTGGTCAGTGGTGCCCAGCCACAGGCCAAGGGGCAACGGGCACCAACTGGAACCCAGGAGGTGCCACCTGAGCAGGAGGAGAAACTTCTTTGGGGTGAGGGTGGCTGAGCCTGGAGCAGCTGCCCAGAGAGGCTGTGGAGTCTCCAAACTGGAGAGATCCCAAACCCTCCTGGCTGTGACCCTGGGCACCCTGCTGTGGGTGAGCTGCTGGAGCAGGGGGTGGGATGAGATGATCCCCAGAGGTCCCTTCCAGCCCCACCAGGCTGGGATTTCTGCTTTGCCTGTCGGTTGCTGTGGGAGCTCTGATGTCCCTGCAGCCCCCCTGAGGAAGCAGAGCCCTCCGTGGCTGTCCACAGCAACACTCACTCTTGGCCAGGGGCTGAAGTAAAGGTGTTGGAGTTCTGTGCCACGTTGTGTTTCAGGGGTTAGTGCTCAGGTTTGTAAGCAGGTGTCCTGTGTCTTCCCTCCCCATTCCCCTCACAGGCATGTTTAACAGCCCGGAGATGCAGGGCCTCCTGCAGCAGATTTCTGAAAACCCTCAGCTGATGCAGAACATGATCTCTGCCCCTTACATGAGGAGCATGATGCAAACTCTTGCCCAGAACCCGGACTTTGCTGCACAGGTAAAAGCGTTGCAGTCATCTCGCCAGGCAGGCCCTGAGCACGACGCTTTGCTGCAGCTGGTGCCAGGAGCTGTGCCCGTCCTCACGGCTGTGGTGCAGTTCTCAGTAGCCTGAAGGTGGTCACAGAACTGACCCCTGTGCCTTAGCTGTGGCTGTCAGGGGCTGGGGGAACAGCCCTCCTCTGTGCCCGTGGCCAAGTGGCCCCTGTCCAACCCTGCTGCCAGGAACTGAGCTGTCCCACTTCTGTCCCCGTTGGCAGGGGAACGTGTTGAAAGCCCAGGGAGGGAGTCAGGGGCCTGACTGACTTGTTCTTCCTGGGTTAGTTACTTAGGGTTTTAGAGCCACCCTCTGACCCTGCCTACGTGTGCTGTCTCTTGCTAGATCATGGTAAATGTCCCCCTCTTTGCTGGGAATCCACAGCTTCAAGAACAGCTCCGCCTTCAGCTCCCTGTCTTCCTGCAGCAGGTAAAGGCCCCTGTCTGGCCCTGTGCTGCTCTCAGCCCTGGGTTCCAGGGTCCCAGAGCTTCTTCTGTAGGGTAGGGAGTGTCTTGGCTGCTTGGTCAAATGGACCTGGAAGCACGTGGGCTTGGGGGGCTCGGGCTGTGAGAGAGAAGGGTTTGCACAGGGCAGGGAGAAAGGAAAAGCTCATTTAGACAAGATCCACACTGAGTCCTCTCAATTACCTAAAGGTGCATTTCAAATTAGACCAGTTAAGCTGCACGAAACCCCTGCGTGGACAGTCTGTAACGAGTTTACAACAATTAAACCAGCTAATTGTGAACAGCAGCTGGTTGGCTCGGGTGAACCAAAGGGCATGGATCCCAAAGGCACACGCCCCCAGCTCCCACCCGACCCGTGTGGTTCCTGTTGGAATCTTGGCCCGAGCTCCCTGGGTGTGTGTGGAGCAGCCCTGGGGGGGACCCGGCCTCGCCTCGGGCGCTGGCTGCTGAGGCTCCTGCTGTTTGGTACCACGGTGTCTTTCTGCCTTTGTCCTCAGATGCAGAACCCAGACTCCCTCTCCATTCTCACCAACCCCCGCGCCATGCAGGCCCTCCTCCAGATCCAGCAGGGACTCCAGACGCTGCAAACGGAGGCCCCAGGACTAGTGCCAAGGTAATCAGCTCCTCAGAGTGGGTTCCTGCAGGCAGACGAGCTGTGGGTTCGTGGAGGAGATCTGCTTGGGGTGCTCTGCTGGGGGCACTTCTCCCTCCTGCCCCTGCAGCTCCAGCTCGCTGGTGCTTCCTGCTTGTTGTGCTCCACGTGGGAAGTCCTTGACCCTTTCTTTTTGGAGAAGAGGTTTGGAAAACACTTGGTCACTCCTCCATCTTTTGTTTGCTGTATTGGATATTGGCCAAACTCTAAGAATTTTATCTCTGGAGAGCACCACGAGAGGCACAGCCTCTGGGCTGTGGGAGGTGGGGTGGGAATGTTGGGGTGGCTCTGCAGGCTCCTTCCAGAGCTCTGCTACAATTGCAGACGCCACCAGCCTGTGGCACGGGGCAGCCTGGCAGAGCCTGCCCGGGTCTCGGGGGACACCCAGCAGTGCCAGCTCACCCCTGAGCACTCCCTGCCTTCCTCCACAGCCTCGGCTCCTTCGGCATGCCTCGAATGCCCCCGTCCTCCACGGGAGGAAGCACAATCCCGGAGAACCCCGTTCCCTCCGCTTCGACGCCGGCCAGTGCCTCTCCAGCTGGGGGTGGTAACCCCCAACAGCAGCTCATGCAGCAGATGATCCAGCTGCTGGCCGGAGGAAGCTCTCAAGTATGTAACTCCCAGCTGCACGCTGGTACCCTGCTGGGGAGGGGCGTCTCCAGGGTGAGCTAGAGGAGGTCCTGTGCCAGTGCCGTGGGCCCCAGCAGGGCTCTCGTGGTGCTCTGTGCTCCGTTTGGTGCCTCGGGCTGGGTGGTTCTTTGGGGTGTATAAAACCTTTGCACAGGTATGAAGCTGAGTGCCAGGGGTCCTTCTCCCACATTGCTGTCACCACAGGTACAGAGCTTGGAATCCTGGAATCATACAGTGGTTTGGGTTGGAAGAGACCTTTTAAGGTCATCAGGTCCAACTGTTGCCCCAGCTCTGCCAGGTCCCCACTGCCCCGTGTCCCTCACACCACATCTCCACGGCTTGGAAACCCCTCCAGGGGTGGGGACTCCACCACTGCCCTGGGCAGCCTGTCACAGCCCTGGGCAACCCTCCAGGGCAAGAAACTGTTCCTCAGGGCCAACTGAAACCTCCCCTGGGGCAACTTGAGGCCAGTTCCTCTTCTCCTGTCCCTTGTTCCTTGGGAGAACCGAAACCAAGGTTCAAGGTTCGACCTCCCCAGTGCCCAGCCCAGAGGATGACCCTGCCCTGCTTGTGCTGCCGGTGCCGGGGTGCCGGTGGCGTTCGAGGCCTCCTCGCCAGCCCTGCCCGTGTCTGAGGCCGGTGCTGCTGCTGGCTGTGAGCTCCTTGTCCTTCCCCCGGCAGGCGCAGAGTCCCGAAGTGCGATTCCAACAGCAGCTGGAGCAGCTGAACGCCATGGGCTTCATCAACCGCGAGGCCAACCTGCAGGCGCTCATCGCCACGGGCGGGGACATCAACGCGGCCATCGAGAGACTGCTGGGCTCCCAGCCTTCCTAAGCTCTTGGCACGCTGACCTCGGCACACGCATCCATACCCATGCCCAAGGGGATCTTTCAGGAAAGCCCACCACCAATCATGTCCATATCCGACAGCTGTCCATGTATTTAAAACAAAAAGATACAGCTTAACCACCCCCCCCCCCCCAACCTTCCTACTAAGTTAAGATTTCATGTTGAAATGCTTTTTAACTGGCTTGTATGTGGATTCCAGTTCTCATCGTGGCCACAGAGACTTCAGATGTGTATTTTTTCCTAAATATGCCCTGTCTCAGACACTCTTCTCTCTCTCTCTAGATGGTAGAGGCGATACTTCTAGTTACTTACCTGAATGATTGTGTTTTGAGTAGCTTGATTTTAACTGTACATGATTCCTTCCCCTCACCCTCCCATCAGGCAAATATTTAAAACTCGAGCCAAGTTTTGAGTTCTGGTTATTTCTCCCAGCATCTTAATTGGGAATGGTTCAAAATCAAAAAAAAAAAAAAAAAACAAAAGAAAATTGAGGAGGGCCTGGAGATTTCTGATGTCTTTTGTCTGTTGGATGAGCTGAGCCGGCGCCCCCCGCACGCAGGTGCCTCTGGGTGCAGGGTTACCGTGCATGGCAGCGGCTTTGAAGCGTGGTCTGTACGCCCCGGGGGTGGTGGAGAGGAGCCCAGATGCCCTCGGGGCTCAGGGTTGGTGTTCTTGAGCTTTGACTTGAAGGTGCTGTGCAGAAGAGGGCGTGTGGAAGGCGTGTGTCTGCCCAGGCAGCCCGGCCCCTGCGCGGCGCTCGCGGGGCGTCG